TCTCTCTCTCTCTCTCTCTCTCTCTCTCTCTCTCTCTCTCTCTCTCTTCTAATAATGTTTGTTGCCAAACTTTCATATCTTTAAAAAATGATTTTTGTTTCTTCTAAGTGATTAATAATACACGGAACTAGATTTTCGCATCAAAAAGTCTCTCCCATTGTTGTTTGATAAACGATATAGTCTTTTTGAAATTCCGAGCTTTCAAACAGAACTCTCGAGAACATTTCTTATGAATTTTGCGGAGTCAGCATGTAGAGCCCGTGAAATGGAGACTGAATGGAAAAGCAGGGAAGGCGATATTCGCCTGGTATAGTTCCCAAGTTTCATACGTTTAAGTACTCGCAAATTTTGGGTTTCCCAATTGTCTTCGAGCTTATAGGTAGTAGCGGAGGATGCTGGGCCGGCAAGAAGGCGCAGGCGAAATATCTGAAATTCGATTTAAAGAGGAGGGCACCGCGCGGCAGTGTTATAAGAAGGATCTCTGTTTCCAATAAAAGTGAACTTAGTTTTCGCGGCATAGCCAGGTTTTCGCAATCTTCTACCAGTCGTTGGCCGCTAGCCAACATCTTTGGCTGGTCCGCTCTAATTGGTTATTCGTGTTTTATTCTCTTTTACTTCACGTATTATTTCATTCCTTCACTGCGATTCTTTCCACGTGTATACGATATGAGAATAATTAATTAACATCACTAAGACATTGACATTAATTAAATTGAGGGAAAAACCGTCGACTCAAAGTTCTAAGTTAATTCTGATGTAATACATTATTAGAGAGTTATTTCCATCGCGCACAAGCAATGCATAATAACACATGCTTTTAAATGGCAAAAGTAGAAAGAGTTGTTATATAAAAGGGTTTATATATTACTAAAATTTCGATTTCAACTGTTATCTGGGAAATTGCGCGACGTCACCTGAGGTCGAGGTTTTAATCTCGTAGATTCCCTTAGGAATTAATCTGTCAAAGATCGGGCCCATTCTCCGCACACCTTCAACGTCCGCTGTCAATTAGTCGGACGTAACTGAAGGATACTCTCGTCCCGGCACGTTCACATGTCAAGTTTCCGTCGTAGACGGAAGTTGAGCGCGAGGACCAATGGTCACGTGCATCTAATAGCGAAGGATAAATTTCGAATGAGTTTGCAGAAATTATAAAGAGTAAGATAGAGATAAATTGGAATCATACGGATTTTAATAGTTTCTAGGAATATATAAATTAATCAAATATATGATGTGTAATTATCTTGGTTATGTATTCTTTTATATTCACCATAATCTAAATTCTTATTAGAGCGCTATGCAAATGAGTTATAGATTAATAACTTCGTAATCTTGGAAATTAAGTTAAATTTAAAATATAGAATTTTTTTATATCGTTGATTTAGTTGCATATGTAACTTATTTTCTTAAATTAAATTTAAATAATTTAATTTATTTTCGTGTCACAGATATATGTCAAAATTCGCATTCTAATACGTACTGTATGTAATGAAAACTTAAATATGTTTCGAAATTATAAGAAAAAGATATTTTACAAATAAAACTTTACGTTATGCATATGCATTAAGTAAATGTAACATCTATTTTTTTTTAAGAAGTTCTTATCTTTGTTTTAGATATCTCGAGCAAAGTAAAGTGCAAATAACAACAAAATGACGGTAGTCCAATCAACAGTGATGGAAAACAAACCATTTGAGCCGGGGCTGATATAAGAGACACGTCGGTAAGTGATAAAATTTTATAACAGAGTAAAATTTTTAAGCGCGTATTTTATCCAATATCTGGGAGAATATTTTAAAAGCATTAATATTCAATGCGGTTTTTTCCTGTGACAACTTTCGGTTTTTTGATGCATGATTGTCTTTATTAAACTTTGAGCTAATCGAATTTCGAATGTGTTTTTATCGCGCGGAGATCAACGTAAAAGTCGACTATCGACTAAAACGCTTTGTTTTCTATATTTTAAATATGCGAATTCAATTGGATTTCGATTGCATGGCAATTTCAGAGAATGGCACTTATCACCGATTAAATATAATTATCCTCTTTTTTTCTCCGCCGTTATTTTGAACGTTATTCGCCGGCACAATTAATTACATTTCTCGTTAATTATCGAGACAATTAATTATTATTCGCTTTTATCGTGCTTTTCTGTGAGATCGATTACTGTTGATATTTTAAGTACTCATTGAAACGCATTTTAAGCCGTTACCACTCGCAAATTGAAGACTGCCGATTGAAATTCTCATGAATTTTTACATAGCCATTATCCCGACGCTCGGGATATTTTTTTCCTAAGCTCTTTGCGTTGTGCTCATCACTACAGCATCTCTTTCTTACGGTCAAGTTCCATTTGATCGTATATATCTTTGGAATTCAAATTAGTTTAATAAAACTCATTGTTGCGACTGAGAAATAAATCCTCCGCGATCGCGCAGAAAACTATTTTTCTTGCCGCACCAGACAGCTTTAATATGGTGCACGTGTCGTCCATAGTATTCATACGTTTTATTCCTTCCCGCGGCGGACGTTATTGTGTGTGTTTTTCATAAAAATCTGTAGCGCACAAAAGATACCACCGTCGAGGGTGTCCAAGGATACGTAATAAAAATACGTTGGTCGGACGTAGCAAGAGCGAAGAATAAGGAAGCAGACAGCTTCGTCCGCATAAAACTAACACGCACATGATCAAATTCCCGATGAATAGGGTTTTCTTCGAATATTGCTGAGATTTCCCTTGTCGTCGTCACTTTAACGTCATCGAGTCACTGTTCTTAAGTCTCTTATCAATGTTTTTGATTTAGTAAGATCGATGGCAGGGAGATTAATGGTGTTGCGACATTATCACTCTGATTTCTATTTTTATCACAGTATTATCTTTCCCATAAAATTGTTAATAGTCGGAACGTTTATATTCAACTCGTATTTTTTATATCAAGAAATATTTATTAGTTAATGAAGTAACATTTATACTTTTATTATATTAAATTTAGGTTAAAATTTTCAATTTATCTTGATTATTCCATGCATTATAGTTTGCCACCTGGAACCTTGACAGCATTTTTACTATGTAATTTATCTGTTTGTTAAGCTAATTATATTAATTAATATATGAAATTTACGTAATATCTTTAATGTTTTTGGAGAACTTAATATCAAAACAGAATGAACCTCTTTACATTTAATGCACATATGTAGTCAAATATTACTTTAAATATTTTTATATTTGAATATTTTCCAGAGTTCGTTAACTCTATTATATTCTTTTTAAATGTATGTTGTATTATTTCTCTCAAATATGGTGCATTTAGATCTTATTTTGTACGCTAAGTATTTTATTTTATTTTCACATTTCTATCCTGTATCTTTTTATTTATGCACACTGATTTATCGGCGATGGTCATTTCTCCTAATTTATTTGTCAAATCACGAATTTACGATCGTAGTTCAACACGATTGGTTCCACCACGGCTAAGGGTGTCCGATAACGTAACACGTCCGAGAAGTTTCCGTTTCGCGGCTGATAATCAAAACTATTCGTATAACTAAATGCGCATAAGCAAAGTTTAGAGTAGGACGAGCCCGCATTTTCGATAGTTTCTACCGATAACACGATGCTTCTCAGGCCTCCCTCACCATTTTCTACTGAAGAAAGTTGCTTCCGGGGCACGAAGTTCGATTAAGAGAAGCGTTTACAAGGATCGCTGTAGGGGCAGTTCGAACTTTATGGACTATAGGGAGAGAAAGAGAGAGAGAGAGTTTTTTACGACGGGACGTGAAATACATCGCTAGGATCGAGAGTGAATATTCGTGTATTCGTCCATAGCTACTTCCCATCTAGCTCTGTTTCTCGTTTTTTCCTCTATTTCTTCTTTTCTTCCGATCTGCTTTTTAATCATACAAAATAGTTAATTTAATTATTTGGTTAAATTGATACGTTGCACATTTGTTTCTATCAGGTTGCGCGTAATTAGCTAATTACAGGATACTTTCGAAACTAAAGAAAATTAGAATTAAATTTTTCTGAAGAGAGATTATTTTTATTTATTTTTATTCATTTTTATTTATTTATTATAAAGATTATTTTGTTTATTTGAATTAAATTGTTATTAAATTTGCAGAAGTACGCTTGATTAAATTCATAGTTATTCTACTTTTCGAAAATAACGTATATAAAAAATATTTGAATCATAAATGATTTAAAGTAAAACTCTGCTTAACATTTGGGTTCTTTAGTTTTAAATTAGAGATGAATTAATCATTTTTGGTTTATTAATTCAACATTTTTTATTTGTAGGTTTTGTATCTAGATTGCGTTAGAATAATTATACTAATTTTTTATGTTTTATTTTCCTTCTGCCTTCATCGAGATTATATATAATTCTTCTTGAAAGATTTATCCAGTTATAATATAGTTTTACTTTTTATATTTTTCCGTCTTGTTTGAATTGAGTTGCCGCTTTGCTTTATTACCAGCTAAACGTGAATAAATGTACATGCCGTTTTTCCCTTCGTGTTTCTGTCCCCATCAATTTTCACCCTCTTATGGTTATCCTTTGACGATTTGGAAATTTATGTCGTCCCCTTGCGTTATTTACGCATCGCTCCCCAGTTTTTCCGCAAGAAGATACTTGGAAAGCTATTTCCTCGAAAGGAGGAGTGACTTGTCCCAAAACGACTCGTCGGGATGCAATAAGATGCTGAAAGAAGCAACGAGTCATGCCTCAAGTATGAAAATTTCTCTCTGGCATTTCCTTGGAGTTCTGTTTTGTCCCAAAACATTTTTCACATCAGAAATCTTATTTCCTGCGATTGTGATCAATGTGACGTAAATACTTCGTGGCAAAAAGCAACGTATTATTCGTAAAATACGTTTCCGCTTTTATTTAAAACTAAATATTTGGGCTTCTACTTTCTGCTTAAGCGTTTAACTTATTCTCATTTGTATTATCCCCATATGAATACACTGCCGGGCAAAAGTTTGGTATTAATTGAAAATGTCTAGTAGTATATGAAATAAAATCAAATATATGCATTATAATTTAACATATTTTATTCATTGTTTTATAATAAAAAAAAAAACTAATATAGTTTGAAAGTTCTACAAAAAATATTTTTTACAAGATGAAAAAAGTATCTATTAAACACTAAAGAGTATTAGACACTTTTTTTCGTAGCCACCTTTACATTTAACTAGATAATCTAGCTACAAAATTATTTATTTTTTCTGATAGAAGACACAACTTAACCACGGCCGTGCTAAATATAATACATATTTTTTTTCAAATTAAGAAAAAATATTGAATATGGCATGAATCGGACTTTGAATGGTGTTTCATTGGAACATTTTTTAATTGTATATGTAATATTTCTCTCAAACCTTTGGCTGGCAGTGTATATTGTTCTATATTTGTGATACGCATTTTATAACTAGAATTTTAAGATGTAAAAGAAAAAATTTGTCTAATTGTATAATTTGTATAATTAATACGATGCGATGTAAATGTGCTTATAACGTCGTGAACCGAGCCAGTTAGAGAAATCCGACGAGATTCGAGTAATTCGAGTCGCATTCTGCGTCAACGATTAATGAGTCGATCAAAGGAAACTAAAATTAAATATTACGTAAACTAATGTTTAAATAATGATGAGTGCAAATTAGAACATAGCAAAATAAAAAGTACACCTACCTGTTTGAAGGCAACAAAAGAACCGACAAAAATTTTCGCCACTATATAATGAAGAGCATAATGAAGATATTTATTTAAATGAAAACTTTGAAAGAGATAAATGGCAAACAGATCATATTGAAACTGGATCATCGTATAATTTTAGATATCTCTACATTTTTTACTCTTCATTTGCAAATACTACTCTACTAACTACCCGTTATATTTTTTATTAGAAATATAGAAATATAATAGGATAAAATGTGACATATAAAATATAGCGAAAAATATGAAATTTGAGATGAACGAGATGAAAGAGAAAAGCAGGATACATAATTAAAAATTATATCTTTTGACTTCGCAAGCGTACACGTGATGTGTAAATTCGTCTTCCTTAAAATTCGATTGTCGAGATTATGCTTCATTCTGTTCCTTTTTTGTATTTAGAGAATTAGAGGCGAAAGATTTTGAGCGCTCTTTTGGCGTATCCAGTTGTCGTCAGATGAGAAACGGCGCAAACGAAAGAGTGCAGAAAGGTCAACAGAAGATTAAGAACAAAAGCGATTGCCGAGGTGGTGATGACGTTTAATCGTAAATCAATAAAATTAATGAATTAAATAAATAAATTAAAAATGTTTATACACATATTTATATATATATATATATAATATATATAATATAATATAAAACATAAATAAGGTCCCGCGCGCGCGAGACTGCTAGAGTACAGCGCGCATTTCTCGCTCCCCACCGTATTCACTCGCGCATGGGAGTCTTCGTCGAGGTTTCTGACGGATGAGATCGTTATCGGTCTTTTGACAACATTTTTTTTTTCGAAGATTCGCTCGACCCAATCTCCGCCTCATCGACACGATTATATTATTACCGTTCCATTTCACAAGAACCCTCGTGAGCTTTTAATTAGAACGGAAATAAATGGATATACCGTCAATGCTCCTCCACACACATCCGTGCATTTTAAGGACGGAGAACATTTTCGAGGTCAGATCTTATTATACCTCTCAAAAACCTCTCGACCGACTGTCCCGCATCTCTATCCTCGTCGAGATGAGATTTCATCATTGCTCTCGCGAGTTCCTCTCTATCCGTTTTTACCTCTCTCTCTCTTTCTCTTCCTTTTATCTACCTTATGTCTCTGCTTTTAGCTAGCCTAATGCGTTACACTATCGTATTTTACATTAAATCGTTTTTGCCCTGTGGTGTCTCTCCCACGACTCCGCTCGCTGACTGGCCAATTTCCTTCTCCTCCTTTCACACCATTTTTCTACACGTATCTACGCAGTGACGAATTCCTAATTTGCAATTCAAAAAACTTCGAAAATGCTGCTACAAAGACGTCGCTGCTGGAAGTCGTCGGTTCTCTCAGTGAAAAATTTACTTTTTCAATTGAAATATCACTATGTCATTATACTTCTCATTTATTTGATTATCAATTATCACATCTTTATGATCATTGAGAATACTTTTAACGATTTAACATGTTAGAAATTTAGTTCTCTAGATTACCAAAAATGTCATTAACGAGTATTAGTATTATTATTCTAATGTGTTATGCTAATAATTACGCATCAAGAATGTTTTTGCAAGACATTTTTTGATATTTTTTCAATCAACGATCATTTTATGTACTAAGCATTTTACCTGTGCTTGTTCGTATCTTCAAAATGTAAAGACGGAGAACTCATGGATTAGGATTCTCTCTCAACGCTCAATGCATTATTCCAACACTTTGCCGGCCTCCCAACAGCGACGAACATGCAACGGCTTAGTTTCGTAGCCCACCCGCGACTTCAGTAAAACCGAGCCGTGGAATAATAAAGTCGTTAAAAAAGGTCGAAGAGAAAAATAATCGGCTTGGCAAAATGCAAGTTTGATCCGTAGAAACTACTTTCGGAGGCGGCTCTCTCTTTTTCTCAAAAATAATTAATTAACTTTTCAACATTCCTCTTGTTCTCTTGTACTTTTTATATGCTTTAAGCTAGTTATTAATTCTTAAGAAGAGAGCCTTCACGGATCGAAATGTGTACTAAGACCATCATCTACGAAACCAAAAACTATACCTTTCCCTTGACCTTTTCTCACGTTTACATTGTTTCACGGTGCGGTCTTATCGAGTATCAGGGTTCGATACTCGTAGACCACTTTGACCACACATACGTCGATCGTGGCTTGATTGTGGCTTTAAGTGAAAAGAATTCGCCGATAGGAGGAGTGAGGGCCCTTCACGTCGTTCTGATCGTCTAAAGGCGACAATCCGTCGTCGTGGTCGCGTCCGTCCTTGATCGAGACCCTGGGCTCTTTGGTATTGTTCTCCCGTTCGCGCGGAGACTACGGAGAAGTGTGCGACACAAACCGCCTCTCTCGCGCACTTCCACTTGTCGTCGTTCTGGACGGTGTCTTTTTTTCCTCTAGGTCAAGCACCGCCAGTACGAATTCGCGAATAGTCGCTCGAGAGCTCTCCCCCCAATGATACCGCGCCGAAAAGAGCAGTCGGGAGAGTCGAGAGATCGATGCGTCTCCTCCCTTTTTTCCTTCCCTCTTTCACACGCCGGCACACGCTCATTTGCACATTCATGATCTCTCGCACCGTCGCCCATTCTTTCTGTCATTTCCATTCTCTCTTTCTCTCGCCGAAGAACTTTCCGCGGAAGCGCGAGTAAGTATGTCACGTAGTGACATTTTCTAGAAAAAAGTACTGGTAATAACGCTCGAAGAAGAGAAACAAGAAAAGAAAGAAGTGGGAGAGAGAGAGAGTAAAAAGGAGAAGTAAAAAAACAAAAAGATGTAGAAAGAAAATAGAAGAAATATTCACACAAGAGAAGAACGAATAAAAATATATTAGGGTAAAAAAGGTAAGAAGTGAAAGAAGAAATAGAGAGAGAGAAAGAAGGATAATAAGGAAAGGGTGTATAAGTAGCATTAGCTGTAGAAATTGAAAAAGGTACGAATGCCCGGTCCAAACTATTTTGGAACCTGTCCTTATGTAAAGTACGGAGGACCCGTCCTAATGCCCGAGATCGACGGATTCGAAATTCGTCATTTCTAATTCTTTGTCTCGACTTCTGTCCCTCGTCCAATCGTCTCGCGTCCGTGTCCCTGATTCGCCTACTTTTCTCCGTTCATACGATTTTCCCTTCCCTCTTTGGTCGCGCGTTGGCCCTCTCACGACTCTGTCTCGTGGGTTCCTACACCGCAGTACACCGCGAGGGTAGAAAAAGGTCTACTCATGGTTAAAAAGGGCCCCGCGCGATTATCGCTAGCAGTAGTACGAGGTAGAGAGTCCCAGCTTGCAGGAAAAGGGTGCCCTACGCCGGTTATACACACTTCCGGTGCTGCTGACGTCCTTCGTCTCGCACCGCAGACCCGTGAAGCCCTCCGCGCATCTGCAACAGAAAATTCGAACAAATCCGTGAACGATCAGTATCTTTCAAATATGATTACATTTTGCAAAATTGTGCAGTAAAGTGTAGACGATATAGTAAATAGAAACAATACTTTTGCCATATAGTGTGAAAAATGTTATAATTATGCTTTTCTCAAAAAGCACGAACGTGGTACGGCTTGGCTTTTAATTAATCTTTATCAAACGAAATTAAAATCATCATTTAGTCATCTTCTATTAATTTTCTTAATTTTAACGTTCTCTTTTTCCTTCCCCATTATTCTCCCATGAAATTAATTTTTTAAAATACCTCCACACTAAAATAGAGAGAAATCTAATTATCTAAAAATATAAATGAAAAAAATCTATATATTTTTCAATATAGAATTATGCGAATTACATCTTCATTTAACATTAGGACTGACGTGTTTAATCTCTATAATCATTTATTTTTAATCACCTTAATCCTTTATATCACCTTAATCTCTAATGACACCATCCTAACCAGACCGTCTCGTCGGCAAAATTTATCGTCCGTCTCGGGATTTTTCTTGGGAGCGTATGTGAAACGTGAGTTTCTTAATTTAACTAAATGTATGCGTCGTATCAGAATTCGCGCGACGACGTCTTTCGCGCGCGGCGGTCTGCAAAAGTGCGGGGGAGACGCGGACGGAGACGACGGAATAGCGGGGATTTCGAGGAGAGACAGGCCGATGCGTCGTTTCTTTGGAAAAATAATGTTATGCCGTCGTCGTGGCTATTTAAAGACTGCGGTTAACTAACCACGACGAGACGTTCGAAGCCACTGTGAGATTAAGAGTCCGGGCGTTCGCTCGGTGTCCGGATAAATAAATTATAGCACGACTTTTCCTCTACCAATCTTCTTCTTTCATTTTTCCTTTGATTCGTAAGCCGTTCGCTCGTCTTTTAATTGCAAACGTCGTCTGTCGCTGTCTTCGTCGTATTTTCGCTGTTGTCACGCTGTTGATTTCTGCACGCACAAGGAAATTAAATAAAAGCGCTTTTCATAAAAGAATACGTCGTCTCATATTAATTTTTTCGAGTCTGCGAGACGTGCGTTAGATTATAAGAGTTAATCTAATTTTTAAAGTCGCGCTCGCGAGTAGACGCATAAATATCCGGTAATAATCGCGGTCTTTTTTGGCGGAACGCGTGCGTCCGGACGTGCATCGGGCATCCTTAATCCGGCACTGCGACCGCAGTGGAAGTCCGACGTCCGCGGCGGAGAGAAGTCTACCTCTGCCGTATAGTGTCTGGGTGCTCGGCGGCGTGCGATAAAGCGTATTTTTGTCACGACAAATTTGGAGCGTCTGAGACTTGGCACGTCGTTTTTATTTCGCGAAATCGCACGCATAGGTAAAACGAGAGCGGGGAAGGGAGAAGCGGAAAGGAGAACAACGGAGGGAAGAATGAAGGGAGACAGAGAAAGAAAGAGAGAGTTCCAGAAGTGTCACCGCGATGAGAAGAGGGGAGATGCTGCGGGAGAGAATTACGTTCTTCGACCATGTCTTTTTGAACGTTCGAGTTTGCCCGAGTATTTGTCGTGCACATATAAGCGTCATGTTTAGACCGTATTAAAAAAAGGAAAGAGAGAGAAGAGAGATAGTGACAGGAGGCACATGCTAAAAGGTTAACGCGATAAGTATACGTAAGGTCGAGTGCGAAGATCGCGATAATGGGTCACTTTGAACAAAATGGACAATTTATTAATGCACAATTATTGGGAGCTTGATCTAATTAGACTTTGTTATAAATATCTCGCTGAGTTGATTTGAAAATTTTTCGGCGCTGTCTTTGCCGGGATTTACGAGGGCCTACGTTAAATATACCGCGTCCCCTTCCTTTTTCCCGTTGGATTTACTGCCAAACGAAATAAAACAGCGGCGTAGATAGTACAATTTATTGTACCATTCACTTAAAGCCATTAACGTGTCCCGCTAACTTTGCTGCCCCGAGTAATTGGCCTTCCGTTGAGATTTATCGTAATCATGCGTGTATCCGCTACACCTCGGGCAACTCTTTCACCCGCCGCCGTAAAAAGGACCCTGACTCGTGAACTGAAACCCGCGAAACGTTCGTCTATTTGCGAGAATTACTTAGGTAAGACGTATATGCAGTGAAGTTTGAATTGGATAGATCCGAACTAATGCTCAGACTACGAAAAACTCGGGCTGTGTATGGAGATACGCTATAAAAAAGTTGATAAATGAAGAAAATATCGCAAATAAATGTAATGACATTTTCCATGATTGGTTATATTTTAAATCGTGTGTCATCAGATACTTTCTCAAATGATCTCCCGAGATTCGCCCTCCGTGTAATTTTGGTGAAAATTTGAGAAGTCATTGATAAAATTTATGGATATCTGTAGAAGCGTTAATCTGAGAATTTTCGCGTCCCCGTCTTCCTACTTTTATGAGCGAGCGGAAATAAAATATCCTCGACGAGAATGGTTCTGGACGGTTGTTAAAAATCCATTTTTCCCATTTTACGAGGGCGTGATTCTTGATTGCATCAGCCAGTTTGCGTCACAACCAACGGTGTGTGGATCATAATGTATATACACTAAACGCGTAAAAAATCGTAAATTAACGTGGCTCGTTAATTCAAGATCATTGATAGGATTGCGGGGAATCCGTCAATTTCCTCCTGTATCCACTCCCTGAATGTTGATTAATGATTGCCAACGATTGACTAATTGTATGTAATTTTTATTTATGTTTATGTTTAATTGTTTATAACATTAATTATATGATGTTTTATAAAAAAATCCATTTTATAAAAAAATATAATATAATATATTTCAGAAATGTGGCGCAGGCACTTCACTATTCTCATCAGTAGATTAGTTTCACTAATCCTCAGGTCATTTTAAGCATTACATGATAACTGACAAACCGCAACCGATTAGTCGTCAAATAGCATATAATGGATAGAAATCGAGAAATCAAATATTCCACTTTATTAATAAAACGCGATATTTCTTAATTGACCTAATTATTGCTGACATTTGTCATAATTAAGTATATACTTTTATCTCAGAGTGACAATCCAAGATTTAATGAGATACAATTAGATGTATCCAAAAGAGACAATCGCGATCTATATTCTATAAGTGAATAATTCCGTTATACATACAAAGAAAATATAAAGTTCAACATGTACAATTTCTCCGGAAATATTATATAACTATTTAAAATTTTTTAAATTTAAAATATACATAATTTAAATTTAAGATTTCCTAATTAATGAAAATTTGCTTAAAACTTTTTCCAAAAACTTGATTTTGTCATATATTTATCCTAATTAATCTAACTGAAGATTAACGCATTAAAATTTTTTAATTTTTAGAGGTATAAGGATTAATAACTATTTTCTTCTTATTAATTATTATATAAAATATTTAGTATTGTGCGTTACAAAAAATACTATAATTAAATGACATCTCATATAATTAATCTGAGAAAAGTACGACAAGATGGAAATTTCCAACGTTGCTGCATTTATTAAAATCATGTGTTGACCACTTTGTTTTAACAACATACGAGCAAAACGCGCGGCACACTTCGTGAGTTAAGTTAATTTTTTACAGAAAACGATGTTTTAATCACATTTAAGCCTCGCAATGGTACAATGGCGATAAGCGCCGACGAGATGCACGTTGTTCATAGTAATAATTCAAAACGTTTTTCCGCATAACACTACGGATTAAGAACAAACAAAAAACTAATTAAAACCCAGAAAATCCGCGAGAAGAGCGCGGGAGATGTTCCGACGAATGCTGTCTTTCCGCGCCAGTCTGAACAAAGTTGTCTTTCTTTCTCTCGGTATTAATTAAAAGAAGCACAGCAATCCCGAAGAAAGGCGAATCGCTTTTTCCGAGGCCCGCATTTAAACGCATCCTTAAGGAGACCGCTTTCCTTTTGTAATATTTTTTGCAACGACGGTAGAATCCTATAATTGCAGTTGCAGTAATGTCAGATAAAAAGAATATCTAGGTATATGTATTACACGAGATATTTCGAGACAACGATATATCTTTCACGCGAGATTTTTTGACGAATTCATGTATTCAATTTTTTTGATTATTTTATACAAAATTCAATAATAAAGTTTAATGATATTGACAGTTTTAGTATATTTGATTTTGAAAGCCCAAGTAAAGTAGAATATTATTGATGTCTCGATAAAATTCAAAATACCAACATCTTGGAGGTGTGATGTGTTTAATTCGAATTGGACATGTTTAAGACAGATACTCTCAAACGACTATTCAATACATCTCGAACATGTCTTATACGATATGTTGTACGAATGCATATGTTTACATTCAAAAACTAATATTTATAATGTAAACAAGACTGAACTGACGTATCAAAGTTTTTTATAAATTGATATTTTAAACTATATTGGAAATATTGATGTATATTAAATCTCCCAAAGGATTTAGTTTATAAAATAAAAAACTGAAAATTTTAGAAAACAATTTATTTTTGTAGATCTATGTTCATTAAAACTTTTTAATTGATTTTGTAAAGTCTGTTAACCAGTTTTAATCTGTTGTTTCTGCATATCTAGTAATTATTCCCATATTGGAATAACACGAAGATGCAACGTTTAGTTAGAACCTTCGTATAATATTTTCTTTTTTATCTTATTCTCTTGCGCACTTTACACACATTATAGATTATTTTAATAATACAACCTCCTTTTCCCTTTCACATTTTCTGGGACATTTACGTGTGCAGATCGAATGCGTTTACGCTCGCGTGAGCTTGAATGCACAGAACAACTCTGGCTATAATATACCGTACTTTATGTCGAAACAACCTGCGAGTCGCACTTTTCCACCCTCGCCCGTGCACTTACTTCTCGCGCGGGCAAACTGGGTTACTTAGTTGCTCGTATAGCAGCTGCATCCACACTTACCGCGCATACAAACGTGGTTGAAGCAAATCTACTAGAGATCCTGTTGCACCT